CGGCCCCTTATAGTCTTGTTTCAGAATCAAATTACATACCCAACTAGGCGAGCTTACAGAAGGACCATCAAAGCCAATGTGCGCCACGTGTTTGACATCGGTCGGAAGACCAATTTGCATCTCTGGCTCTTTCTCTTCTGCCTCTATGTAATTAACAAATTCATCCAATAATATGTACCGCATTTATAAAAAAAAAGAACAATAGAAGTAATATTTGACTAGAGGAGTAAGAATTTGTGACCTAAAATGAACTTACCAAATATATTAGAAATGTATCTTAGACCTTTTAATAAGCCCTTCATCGCGTTGGTCATGAGGTACCATGTGAGAGAGAAATGATACTGAGAGAATCTTTTAGAGGTTCGCCTGAGATTATCTCTAAATTCCAATCTTAAACTTCAAATGCTCCAATCTATATACATTTTGAAAAGAGAGAGAATTTAAAAAAAGTTTATTCAACTTTTTTTTTTAACTGTCAAGGTAGTTACCCCTGACCTATTATTGATCATAGGATGGTCCTCTTGATAGGTATTAATATTGAGTGTTATACAATTAGTGCCTGATGTATTGCCTTCCAAGCAATAAAACCATGCAAAAAAAAATCTAGATTTTGCTCAAATAGAGATAAGTCATAGTTAAGGAAGAATGAGAACAATGTAGATAGATATCAACATATAAAAAAATTGACATGAAAAGATCTTAGATTCATCTGAAATATTCATCAATGATAATAAGAACTATATGCTTATAGGGGGGGAAACTAATTTGTGAGAAAAACAACTATACCTTTAATTTGAGCAGAATTGCAACCCATATCTCGAATTTTTTGCTGTGATATTAACGGCATCCTTCTTTATCAATCCCATCCAACAAACCTCAACTATAATATCATTTTGAAGGAGTTAAATATAAACAAAAAATTAATAAAAATGTTAAATATTTTGTTCCTCCAAGAATATAAAGAAGAAGAAGGGGGCTAGCAATTTGGAACAAGCGAAAGAAAAGAGATTAATCGGATGCTTTCTTTCTTTTTCTTTAATTTTATTATAATGTAATTAGGGAATGAGAGGTTGAAGTTTTTTCTCTTTTTTTAATTTTAGGATACAAAATTTATCAATTATTTGATTGTTTTTTTTTTTTTGGGTGCTCTCATTGTTTTTTTATTTAACGGGTCGGAGCGCAAAGAACGGGGAAATCAGTTAGGAACGTAGCGGGAGACCGTTGAGCCTTTTCTTTAGGATTAGAAAGAGGAATTGTGCGCTTTGACCAAATTGCCCCTCATATTTGTGCTAAATATTTTGCAAGAATATCTAATTATCAGAGATAAGGTTTACGATTTCATGCAAAATATTCAAAAAGACACCCTCTATTCTGATTAGGGAAATTTATCCATCCTTTATATATAAAGAGAAATTAGTGGAACTCTTAAAGACATAAAAAATTAACACGTATCATATAATAGAGGCATAAAAAACTAGGGAAAATTGCTTCCAGCCCCCAAAACCGCCCATAATATGCTCTGCCCCCCCAAGTCCTTTAACGTTCCTTTTCCCCCCAAAACCGCCCGTGATTTTCTTCCAGCCCCCAAAACGAATCCCCAGGCCTAACTCCGTTTAAATCCCGCTCGAAATGCCCAAAATACCCTTACGTTTAAAATTCCCCGTTATGAGTTACATCCTCGTCCGTACCCTGCCATCTCTCTCTTCTGCAAGCAAACCGACCCCAGAAACCCAATTCAAAACCCTAGCCCTAAACCAATCGACCCCAACGCAAACCGAATCAAAGCAAAGGGATCAAAATGACGGGCGATTCAACCCCCAAAGTCAACCTCAATGCCGACCACAACGAAAGCGATGACGCCCAGCGGTGCGAAATCTCAGATAGTGCATTGCGGAATGAATCTGAAGCTCGAGCTGCGATTGGCGATGTTCTAGAGGACATCGCAACCAGCCATTCTCATCCCAGAAGCCTGGCTCAAAATTTAAGTGTAGGCCCCCGCGAAGGTCTAGAGGGCAGCACCGGGGTCCAACGATGCCACTAGAGCGCTCCTTGGTCTACAGAGAGGAGAAAAAGAGCAGCACGTGGCAGCACCCAAAAGGTAATTTTTACCGCAAGTTTTATGTTGTTAAGGTTATGGTTTGATTGATAATGCTCTTAGTCTGGTGGGAAGGTCCAAAATTACGGTGTCTGTTAGCTGTTGAGGTTACTGTTAACATGCAAGGTCTATGCTTTTATTGCTGAGGTTGTTGTTTATTTGTAGAGGTTAGGCTTTGGTTGTTAAGGTTAGGTTTTGGTTGATAAGGTTGTGGGGTTGTTGTTAAGGTTGTTGGTTACTGCCTTTATTGTTAAGGTTGTTGTTTAGTTGTTGAGGTTAGGCTTTGGTTGTTAAGGTTAGGTTTTTGTTGTTAAGGTTATGTGGTTGCTGTTAAGGTTGTTGGTTTACCCGCAAAGTTTACAGCATAGCTGTTATGTTTACTGATTATACTCAAAAATGCTCTCGTCTTGTGTTTTTGTTTTGTAGAAAAAGGGCAAAGCCAGCTATTACGTTGCGGCCCACCGCCAGCTTCGGTGCCTATCACGACTTCATGCAGAATTTGGTGACGCGTATGGGGCCAAGGCATTTTGCGGCCTACGAAGATAGTGTATTCAGACACTACGTCCAATTTGGCCCACCTGGCGTCGATCTTCCCACCTTTGAGCACATTTTGAGTCAGTGGGACAAGAAGAGCAAAAAATTCGTCTTCACCGATAGGAATGATGGAGAAGAGATCCCATGCTCATTCAACCTTGAGTGGGTAATGGAGCATACATGGTTCTCCAATGAGGGGCTTCATGTTGACCACAATCGGGACAGGAAAAATAGGATTTGGTCCAGGTTCTTTGACAAACCCGAGACGGGGGGTTCCAGCAGTATAGCTCCCCCCAAAGGAGGCCCCACCAGACGCAATGTGGAGGACCTGCTCTTGAAGCTGGTACTATCTTCTGATCGCCGAGATGTGAAGGACTTTGTCCTGCTACAGATCCTCTATCAGCTGAGCATGATTTGGTGTCCAAGCAGTATTTCCGGCGTTCCTAGGCATTTATTCAAGTACGTCGACAGCATCGAACAGGTCAACAACACTGCTTGGGGGACCTATATATTCAGTGAGACATCTGACGCGATAGAGAGGGCACTGAAGGATCCTGAGCCAGGGAAGACGACATTATATCTGCAAGGTGTACCCCTCTAGTTTGTGTAAGTAATCATATTTTTTACTGATTATGAAGGTTAGGGTTTACTTGTTAATGTTACAGTTTCGTTGTCAAGGTTACAGTTTGGTTGTTAATATTACGGTTTGGTTGTTAAGGTTACGTTTTTATTGTTAGGGTTACTTATTAATTGTTACGGATGAAGGTGTTTGTTAAAGTTTTTATATCTCTAATGTGCAGTTGTGGTATTATGAACTCACCGGCATCAAGAAGCCAGCACTTGGTTGTACGGTGAGGCCTTCCCTGACAAATTGGGTGAGACTTGGGCACGTTGCTGGTTCTTTGAGATTGGCCACTGTTGTTGCGAAAGCAAGTAAAGCTACGATAAAGCTTCCACAGCAACATGGACAACTTCAAAGAATCGAGGGAGGTTTTTGTGGGAAGGAGCAGGGGATAGAGAATGAGAAGAGGAGAGAGAGAGAGAAGAGGAGGATTAAGGGTCCGGCTGCAGTAGACGCCGGCAGGGCTCGTGGCCCAATAGACCTTCTTCACAAGAAGAAGAGGAGAGAAGAAGATGACGACATCCCAATTGATGCACTTGTAAGAACTTAGCAATCGTGGATTTTATTTGACTTAGCAATCGTTGATTTCATTTGTTTTTGAATTAATTAATTAATCCTTTTAATAGTACTCTACCTGTCCGTTGCATATGTGATGCCACAGGATATTGATGAAGACGCCGAGCAGCCAAATGATGCAGTTGAGCAAATGGATTGGCCTCAGCAAGTTATCTACTGGAAGAGCATCGCGGCAATGAACGAAGCATTACGCCGCGAGAACGAGAATAAATTCAAGGATATGATTGCTGCAGACCGTGTAAAGATAAGTGCTCTTTCTGTGAAGGTGGCTAAGCTGTCTGCTCAAAATAGAAGACTGAGAGAGGAACTAAGCGAAGCACGATCCGGAACCCTCTCTGTATACAAGGATAAGAGCCCTACAGGATTGGTGTCCAGCCCATTGATGGAGCCGCAAACTTGTACAGGTTAGATGTGGCTTGCAATTACGTTTGCGTGTTATAGTTAAAAATTGATTGATAAGTATATGGATTTATTGTTAAGGTTAAGAATGTATTGTTAACTTTACTGATCTAATGTTAAGGTTAGGGATTTATTGTTAAGGTTAAGAATGTATTGTTAACTTTACGTATCTAATGTTAAGGTCAGGGATTTATTGCCAAGGTTGGAGATTGATTGTTAAGTATCTTGGTTAGTTTTAAGGTTATGTAACTGATGCTATGTTTTTTTTGACAATGAAGTACCTAAGCTCATTTGTGTTTATTTTTTGAATCAGACACTCCAGGCACCGTGGGTGGCATTGATGTACAGTACGATGGGGATGTCAATAAATCATTATTATTTGATGAAGCTAATAAGGAGAGCGAGGCCCCTCCAACAGGGAGGGCCTCTCCACAACCATTGTTTTCTGATATCCACAAGGAGAGTGAAGATGCTCCGCCAGGAGAATTACCTCCACCAGAGGCATCTGCTGTTGACAAGGCCCTTGAGGCAGAAATAAACGAGGGAGAGAAGGTGTCCCCGCCAGCGAAGGAGCTACTAACTTGTACAGGTTAGCTTGCTTTTGTACTATATGTTAGAGATTGGTTGTTATGTCTACGTATTGGTTGTTAAGCTTTTTATTGTTTATACTCTGAATATTATCAGAAACAGGCACTCAACGCGAGGGCACTGGAAGGGAAATAACGCCGGCGGTTGAAGTCCCTTCTGCAGGTGATGGGGAGACGCAAACTTGTATAGGTTAGCAACTTTTTCACCATGTGTTTAGGCATCAGTTGTTAGGTTTACTATGAAATTGTTAAGTTTAGATAGAAGGGGCTATGTTTTCTTAATATTTATACTTCGAATGGGTTGTTTGGAATCAGACACTCTGCGGGAGGACACTAGGATGGAAATAAAGCAATCAGAGAATGCCCCTCCACCAGCAGAAGAGACATCAACTGATGACGAAGATGCTCCTATTGTGTTTTCAAAGGTTTTGAATAAGAGAAAGAGGGGTGCAACGGGGGCACGCGGGAAGATGGCCGCTGCTGCACCCCCTAAACGGAAGAGATGCAAAAGATCGGTGAAGCCTTCCAAGTGGGTAGTCACCCCTTACACTGAAGGGAAGAAGAAGAAAGAAAAAGACAACATAGGGGACAAGGCTATAATAGAAGTGGGTGGGGAGGAGGAAGCGCAGGTGCAGGAAAACAATGCAGAGTTGGCTCCTGCTCGGCTACAAAGTGACCCCCACTCTATCTGGGAAAAACACATGAGTTCCCCTATGAGTTCAGAAGAAGAAATGTACAGAGATAAGCTGAACGAGGGGATTCCCTTTCCAGATGGCTTCATCATCAAGTTTTTGGGCGACAAGGACACATTTGTACATAACTATAAGGTGTCAGCAGACGTTGCCGCGCTACTGACGGAAGAGGAGCAAAAAGCTCTTAACCATTTTTGCATTTGTAGATGTAACAAGTAAGTATTTACCTCACATCTCAAGTATTTACGTTTGTTGTTTAGTTTGCGGGTTTGTTGTTATGGTTACGGGTTTTTTTGTTATGGTTATTGATTTGTTGTTTAGGTTAAGGGTTTTTTTGTTATAGTTATTGATTTGTTGTGCAGGTTATGTGGTAGTTGTTAAGGATACGTATTTGATGTTAAGGTTACGTGTTTGTTGTTATGGTTACGGGTTTTTTGTTATGGTTATTGATTTGTTGTTTAGGTTAAGGGTTTTTCGTTATAGTTTTTGATTTGTTCTTGCTGCTAATTGTTAGTTGCTAACTATTATTTTTGTTTTTTTCCCTGTTTGCAGTTTTATTAAAGTGTACGAGGGATCAGCAGGGTCTATTACCCGGCTTGAGATCCTCAATATATTACGCGGTGGGCGACTGGATGATTCAGTAAGATTTTCGATTGGTATTTATTCATTAGCATATTTAACAATACTATTATTAATTACTTGTTGCCAACTTATGATAGCTTGTTGATACGCTGCTTGATTTAGTTCGTGAAAATCAGAGAGCATCGTCCAGTATAAAATTCGGCGTAGTCCCTGTTTGGTTTAGTGTAAGTTTATGTCTGGCGTGGCGTACTCCTAACTATCAGCACATAATCTATGTTAAAAGGAACCTGATCGGGTTAATTCTTTATTGCAGCACCAGATACATGTGCTGAAACCAGATTACCAAGAGCTGCATGATATCTACATCAAACGCTTGGTCGATGAAGGGTGTACTAACCTCTTAGTTCCCATTGTCCAGGGCGATCATTGGCATCTTCTGGAGTTTGATGTCGAAAATGATATTGCCAGGCATTACGACTCCTTGAAGGAGAGATCTGGACATTGGGACCCTGTGCTCAATATCGTCAAAGCCTTCAACTACATTAAAGCTGGCTTCAATGAGAACCAATTGCGCAGCGTATTCGACCCAATCAAAGTTCCATGCGAGGAGCAAAAGGGATCGTAAGTTTGCCGGAACCCTTGTTGGTATTCATTGTTGGAAACTGGTTGTTAAGGTTACGAATTTGTTGTTATGTTTTGATTGAAAGCAACAATGGTCTCAATGCTTCCTTGTGGTTGTGTGCAGGTATGACTGTGGGATCTATGTCTACCAGTTCGTACAAGCGATTACCGAAGGTAGAGATGTCCTGCACGTCACGCCCGAAGAGCATAACACATGGGTGGTTCGTGCGAAGCTAGCAGCGTACTTACTGATTGAAGGCAGGAAGAGGAAAAAAGAGGTGGGAAAACTTGACGATGATGACGTTGAGATGTAGATTTTTTGTAAATGATATATTACATTTCTTTGGTGTTACTAACAATATACATGTAAATATTAAAAGGTAAATATAAACAATATAAGGTTGATCTGTGAATGATATATTACAATTCTTTGTTGTTAATAGCAATGTACAAGTAACTATTATAAGGTTGATATCAAGGGATAACATTAACAGCAAACCCATGAGTTCAACAACAAAACCGTAACCTCAACAACAAACAGCAAAGCTTAACAACATCGCAAGATTCTGCTAACTTGTGCTTCAAATGCAACCAAACTAAATTCGAAAAGATTTCTGCATTTGTCCGCCAATAGTTTACGATATGCTAGATCCCCAAGGGATAACATTAACAACAAATCCATGAGTTCAATAACAAAACCGTAAACTCATCAACAAACACAAAAGCTTAACAACACACTATATTAGCAGAAACATATTAATAGGTAGTTAATAGAGCGTATCATCATCAAGTTCAGCAAAACATTTGGTAATTTACAATAAAAGACAACCTAGGGGCCGACTGCTCCTCCCCCGCTCCCCTTGCTCGAAGCGCGATCGTGGTAGGAACCCCTATCGCGAGGAAGGGTAGACGGCCCAACACCTTGGGCCCGGAGAAATCGTTGCCAGAGCTCTTTCTCCACCGTCATTTGCCTGCCGTCCCAAGACACTTCAATCAATTCCGGGTCGGCGCGGGAAGGCTGCGGTTGCTGGCTTTGAGGTTGGTCAACGGACATGTCGTTGGGACCTTGCTCATTGTTTGCCTGCTGCTCACGGTCTCCACCCACAAGCTGAGTGACGACGAAACCTTCCATCAGACGACGGTCCATGGGAGAGGTGTAACGAAACCTAATCCTCTTAGGGATATCCGAATATTCCCTAATCTCTAGCAGCACCCTGCAGTCTCTGAAGTTTGTCTTCGTGGTGACGTCAGCGGAGCAGTACACGCATTGGCCGATGCCCTCGAACAGTGATTGGAGGAACTCCAACTCCCAGAGGTGGTAGGGGAGATTGAAGAGGCGGATCCACCTAAACATGGGGTACGGCAATGCTCTTAGCCTGAGGTCCTCCCGCCAAAGCCTGAATCTGCCCACGAAGGACCCAAGATTTACAGGACTGAGCTCGACGGCTTGATCTAGTAGCTCATCAGAGGGGAATTTAACCATGAACCTATTTATAGATACCCGCTTGATCTCATAGGTCCAATCCCAGACGTTGAACCGATACCCTAGCATCTCTCTGAGCTCGTCCAAAGATGGCAGACCCACCTCAATAGTGAGGAGAGCGAATGTAGAAAGCTCCTGAATGTTGCGGGCGACGCTATCTGGAACGGGGAGCAATCGTGGGTCGGCGTGAGCTACAAGACCATGAGGGCAATCCCGGGAGATATGCCCCGAGCCATGGCAATGTATACAAGGGATATCATCGTGAGACATGATCCTTCTGGTTACGAAACGAAGGTCGTGTAGTTGTTAATGAGGCTGGGATGGGGAGAAAATGGCGGTGATGGGAAGATTGATGGCTGCGTCGAATGGTCTTGTCATGGATACAGGGGAAGGGATGAGGGTTAATTAAAGCGTGGTGGCTGGGAAACGCGAGGAGACAGATGATATACTGTCTGTCTTGGAAACATAATCTACTATGGAAGCATTTAATACAGATAGAAACCCACTAACTTTTTCCTTGATCACCTTGGCAACTAAAAGGCTAAAGAAGACAAGAGAGCGCTAACCTTAGCTAACAATCCATAAGATTGACAACAGAGCGCTAACATTAGCAACCTATCCGTAACCTTGACAACCAGTACATAACCTTGATAACCAGACCATGATCTTAATAAAAAAACCCATGAGCTCAATAATACAACCTTGTATAATGCCACGTCCTTCTTTACAGCCATGCTACAACCTTGTATAACACAAGTTTTGAGTTTACTAAACTTTTCCAAGAAATAGATTGTTTCGTTTTGGTTCGCATAAAAAAAATGGTGGGAAACCAATGTATTTATTTTTCTTGTGTTTGATTCGTATGAAAAAAAAGAAATAACTTTTGTTTATACGACAAAAAGATGATGTGGCTGCAGTTTTCATCGATTTCACGAGGTTGAAGAAGGAATTTGGGAAGAGAAAAAAGATCTAATGTGGCGGCGATTTTCATCGAGTTTCCCTTCTTCAACCCTAGCGAACCAAAAATGAAAAAAAAACCGACGGAAAGCTTATATCCTACGTGGCCACGAAAAATCTGATGTGGAGCCGGTGTAAAACTTTTCCATTGAGTTAAAAAACGAACCAAACAGCCCCTAAATATAATAAAAAAAGGAGTGATATCACAAAGGAGAGCTTGATAGTTAAATTATTTAATTTAAATTTTAAAATTAAAAATATGAATGTACTCATTCGGCAAGCCGACTTTTTCCCCTCTTTTTATCTTAGAATATTTTAAAAAAATAGAAATATTGTAAAGGAGAGACTGTAGTTATACTATCTAATTTTGTACTTTAAATTTTGTGAAACAAATGTCATCCACCCCCCTTATTTTGATTTTTTTTTTTTTAAAGTTTCAAACTATTTGAAGAAAAAAACTCCAGCTCTTATTATCTAAGTTTAAATAATCCATATGCTATAAATTATTGGTATAAGGCAATTGTATGCTCATAACCATAAATAGAGTATTTATAAAAATAGAAAACAAGAAGCGGCAGCTCAAAAAAAAGTATTGTTTACTTTAATTTAGAAGCCAATGCATATGAATAAAGAAAAAAACCCATAGAGACGAAACAAATCAGATAGAAACGTTCAAATCCGTAGCCATCCAAGCTGATGATACAAGTTTAGTTCCTGCCAACCCACCAGCTCCATATTACTTAATCTATATATAAGATGCGCTCGTGCGAGTATGGGCAAAATACTTGTTCTAGTGAAATATTAGTTGCTATTTTGGAATTGTGATTCTCCTACGTGAATAAGCTAAGGAGATGCGAAACATATTTTCTTATTAATTATAAAACAGAATGAAATTTTCTATTTTGATTAGTAAAAATTATGAGTTATAACCCACTGGTTACCAGGTAAATTTATTTTCGACAAAGTTACTTATCGGGCATAAAAATGTATTGTTGACTCTCGAGCTAATTTCCTACTTCAGCTCGATATTGATTTTCTCGTTTATTTGCTGCAGAAAACATAAAAAAAGCTAAAGAAATGAACCAACCTTCTCATGCCCGTGATAGCTTCGTTCGGTAATTCGCTGGCCAGAAATCCCCCAACTTTGTTGTTCAAGCTTGTTTCTTCAACCTTTTCTCTATATCTACAAAGAGCAACATATAGCTCGACAGTATTTGATGCAATCCAAGTTTCTGAAAGAAAATAATCGACGAATGAAAACAGAAACCATATCTAAATGAAGTTACATGATAGACCGTGATCCCCCGAATCCGACGCTTCATTAATCAAGCCTCTGTTACTTCTCATTTTGTACTCATGTAAGGTAAAAATATAAGGGGAAAAAATTGATGGCATTTTGTAAAAATCAACATTGCTCATAGCTTGTCAGCTTAAGCACAACAACAAAAATTCTCACACAAACAATCGAGTTCCGTAGAAGCAAAACGTTACATTGGAAGGATTCCTCTCCGCCTTCTTCGTTATTCCTTCTTCCTATTTCACACTTAAATCATACAACATGGAGGAACCAACCTTACACTCTTCCTTGCAACCAACACAAAATTTTGACTGTAGAGCCTCAGTAATACGAATGAGCGAAGAGAGCTCAATAAACCATTAAGAGAAAAATACATCGTTTTGGTCGTGGAATCCAAACTTCAATGCTCCATTTGTCTATATGCAAGCCACTTATCGCTTAATTGATTGGCACTACGATACTTTTACCTGCACATTAATATGATGTTCTGTCATAAACAAGTTGAATTTGAAGAAGACATATAACAAACGCGGAACAAAAATTACCTTCTTAAGGTATTTACTATGAAGCTTCAGTGCATTATCACATGCCTTTTTCGCATCCAATTTTCCAGTTATATCATTCAAGATCTAGTAAACACAGCTCAAAAATGAGAAACAATTAAACAAAAATACAAACTAAGAGGGAAATACAAACCGCAGAAGAATGAAAACCTTGACAACATTGTCCAGGCCTTTAGCTTCCTGTAGTAATTTCCTATTCTGTGCCTCGAGAATGCTGGCTACTAGGAAGACTGATAGAGGGACTTGTTGATCATTCTGCTGACTAGTTTTCATGTTTTTCCTCTCAAATTTGCCGTATTTCTTTAGCAAGGCTTCGTGCGCTGCTGCATCTGGTCTGCTGGCAACTTTTGTATCAGACTCGTACGAGGAGAAAAGCTTTGGACTGTATTCCATAGCCCACATAAGCTGAAATTTAGGAGACCAAGCAATCCTCTTTTTCGGTTAGGGCCCATTTGGATGACAGGAATTATTAGAAGTGGGAAGTAGATCAAAGAATTAACTTCTGAAATTATGAGTAGGAAGTAGTGAAAGTACCTTTTTTTTTGTTTGTTTCACATATTTTAGAAGTAGCAGAAGTGATACTTCTTTATCTTCTTTCACTTTTTTTTGTTTGGATAATAAGTGTGAAAATATTGTTAGGAAGTAGAATAAAATCTATCTATAATTATGTATTATACCATCAAAAGAAGAATATTAAAATACTAATAATAACACTATATTTGTTGCTGATGTATCTAACATCATTCCACAGAATGAGTATTTAGCATGGATAAAGAAAAATCTTTGCACACATATCAAAGACTATCTTAAATGACATTCATGAAGCACAGAACCACATGGGAATGGGAACTTAAAGAAATAGCTCAAAAAAAGGTTCAAATATACAAACAACACCAATTTCTTGCTCTAACCTGTATCTATATGCAGTTCAGTTCACATTATAAAGGATGGGATTGTACAAAGAAAATATTGAATTCAAAACTGACCTATATATTTTTGGCAGTGGCAAGAGTATCACAAGAGGTACTAGAGATTTTTACGAATTTTAAATTCCTACTTTTATGCGTATCTCAAAATTCACATGGACCCCACACATAGGCCCTTAGCTTGGGATCAAACGTAATTATAATAAATTTCACTAAATCCCCTAAAGTTTGGAGTGTTTCGCGCAAAATCACCCTAAACTTATAAATCGGAGAAAATACCACGAACTATCAAAATTATACACTCCCTGAACTATTGAAAATTGTTATAAACAGAGTTAACGCGAGAAGCAAAAAGTCTATACTACCGTTGTTACTATCTACCTATCATAAGCATCCAAGAGGACAAGATTGTCCAAATCCAAAACGTCTCACTTGCTACACACATGGCAACTCAAACCAACTGTAGCTGGTTATGGTATTTAAGTGAGACAAGTTGGGGTTCTTTGATTTACTAAGTTTAGGAGGTTTTGTGCAAAGCACCGCAAAGTTCCAAGGGTTTTGTGAAATTTAACCTAGCTAACAAGAACTGAAGAAAGAAAAGAAAAACAAGAGCAACTGCTCATGATAATATGTTCAGTAAGAGTTTGTCAATAATTTTAAAAGATAAATGTAAATACCACTTCCATGAGCTCCAGTGCCTAGAGAAGGCTTACCTCCCAAAGGTACAGTGCATCTACAAATGAGAACTCCCTGCGGAAAAGAACCATCAGCATTCTGAAGGCAAACAAATACTCTCCTCCATCTAAGTTTTCTGTCAATTACAATTCCTTATCAGAAATGCAAATAAATATGGCCATAATTATTTTGTACTCTTATTGTAAATTTAAAAGGTCAGGGCTTTTAGTTCGTCAAGAAAACCAATGGTCATAGACCAACCACCACCTAGGTTAGAACAAAGGCTTATCCAAACATTTGGCCTAACAAGAATATTAAATACTATATGCAAATGGAGCAAACCAATCTGAATGTTTAACACGCATTGAAGTATGCACGAGCATCTGCACTGAAGGTTGGCTAAGAGATATTTCACCAAAAAAATCAAAACAATAGCAAGCCGATGCAACACCATTATGTTTCTCTGGCTAATAAAATACTCCAGTCTGGAATTTCTTCAGTGATTAATGATATTTCTATTTCTATTACATGTGTAAATTAAACAAAGATAGGTACTTGCAACAGTTCCTAAATAATTTGTAACATTTATTCAGAAAATTGACTATTGTAGTAACCACTAAGCACGAGGCAATCATATATTTTATTTGCTAACTGCTTGTCTGAAACTACAAGGGGATGTATCTTCAATTTTAGATTAAGGATCTTTCCTTCCACCTAACACAAAACCAAATTACTTCAAATGAATGGTTGATGCAGTATATATGGTATAAATTCTTAAGACATCATACCTATGTGCTCATGGAGCTTGGGATCCACAGATTTTATGATGGATGAAAGAATTGACAGTTGAGATCGCACTCCAATAGTGTCACTTGTGCATTGAAAATTTTTTCGCTTCAGGGGAAAAAAATAAAATGTAAGACTAAGACTCCCTAAACACATAAAAATTTGACGAGCATATGTACTTATATATCAGATTCTCAAACATAATCATTATATTTCATAGAAAGAATCAATGTACTTTATTTTCAAAAGATGACAGGTTGCAGACCTAAAAGGATGATACCAGATAGGCTGAAGATTTCACTAAATAGTTTCATAATGTCCTAAGAAGAAGTATGCAACAAGCACAGAGTAGTGAATCAACCAAACTCGCACGTTACTGAATTGATTAATTGTCAACTTTTAAAGCATTTGGCAGCCAATGGAACCTGATCAATTGACATAACACCTCCTGAAGCTGCAAAGATGCAATACAAATATAAAGCAATGTTTTAGGGTTATGAAGCTATCACATTTTGACACTTGCTGAGTTGAGAACGATAACCCTTTGTAGAGAATAAGACTCTGCACATCCAAACTCTAATGACACAAATTCCATTGGCTAGACCTTTGCAACTCCAACCCACTTTGTGTTGAAATTCCAGCAAACCATTGATTAGAACTTATTGCTGTACTTGGTTCGGTCAAGAAAATATGTAAAGGGGGCCCAGCCAGCTAATCCTTTGTTATTTTGGAAAGAAAAGTACAATGTTACTTTAAATTGACTCGCATAACCTGTGGGAATCAGGAGAAGAACTAACCTCGCGCCCCTAAAATAGCGAAGGTAAGTCATTTTGCGTTACTTATACTACAATTAGTTGTACAGATCGTTATGAAAGAATGAGCGTTGGATTTTGTTGCTCTTGTCTCTG